TTGCTACATCCTAAATTTTTTTTTTAAAAAACCTACTCAGTTATTAAAATATATAAAAAAATTTTTTAAAAATCAATTAATTAATTTTGTATATTCTTATATAGAATTTTAGCTTTTTGTTCTTTTGATAATTTTTTAGTTTGAATATAAGTTTGTTTAAAAATTAAATGATCTGTAAATAATATTAACTAATATAGTAGATGTAGTTGTATAAGTACTATTTATTTCATATTTCTATATGATTGTATAATAGAGTTTTACAACTTATAATTACTGTTTTTCAGTAAAAAAAAACTAAATTTTTTTAGCAATACAAGTTATTTCTCTGACAATGCTTATTATTTTCTTTAAAGTTTGAGAAAATAATTTATTAGTTGTAAACCTTTATCATAATTAAAGATGCTAATAAAATTAAACAATTTCATTAAGCAAAATAATTTCACTAGAATTACACTTTATTACTTTATTATTTCATTACTTTATTTAATTTTACTAGCATCTTTAGTCATAACATCATATAAAAACAAAGAATAATATCATTATTTTGCTATTACAAGAAAATAATTCAGCAGATCTATGCTTTAGCAGAAATGTGCCTCTTATTTTCACTATTATAGAAAATAATTTTATTGATTTTTTTGAAAACAACCTATTATTAGTTTGATAAATATTAAATAACCAACTAAAATAATCTATTCAATTATTTTTTAGTCTTTTACTTGTTTATTCATAAGCTATTTTCAGAGAGTTACAAGCAGAAGAAAGGTTAAATTAATTACAAAATATACAAACTAAATATATTTTTGTTAAATATAATCATATAACTTACTTATTAACTAATGCAGAAAATCTTATAAGCATGAAATTAAAGAGTTAACAGCCAATGAAGCTAATATAGATAATGTAATTTATCAAATTTATTTTTCAAATATAACTGTTAAATTAATATTATAACAGTAACAATAATATAAATTAGTTAAGATTTAAATACAAAAATTGTTACAATATTATGATTAGATCTTGTAAACATGTCTGAAATTTTATTAAAAGAAATCAGAACTATATATAGATGCATGCCACTAGGTTATATTCTACTGTAAAGATATGTTAATACATCTTTATAATGGGACATAACCAAGTAACAGTATTTCTGTAACTATAATCAGAATGCAGTATATTTTTAAAAAAAGATATAATTAATTAATATATATATTGTGCATCAGATTAAGACTTGCATCAGATTAAAACTGGTCTAAATTAGAATTAGGATTAGGGTGAAAACTAAAATTTAGCAAGGCCAATTATTGCAAATTATTTAATGCTAACTAATGATTTTAATCTAACATATGTTGGTCTTAATTTGATACCAAGTTTTAATCTAACATACAACATATATAAATAAAAAGAAGAAAAAGAAAAATAGGAAAATAGTAATGATATGAAATATGAATTTTGTTGTATTAGTTTATACATTTTAGTGCAGCATATAAATTTTGCATAATGTCAAATAATCTGATCCTTCATAAAAGTTTTTAGAGTATTGAGTTCACAGTTGCATGTCTCTACATGCTTTTACATATTCATCTATATAGTTGGTATTTTGAGAACTTGGTCTAATATTTTGCAATCTATATGTTTATAATTTCTATTTTTTATTTTTTTAATATAGAATATAATATTTGTATTACAAGTTCTATCTATCAATCTGTATTTTGACAACTTGGATCAGGTTCTTTTTTTAAAAAATATATATATATATATTTTGCTTTGCTAAGACTGTTAGTTATTGGTAGCTATTGCTTTTATTATAAATTCAATTATAATTATATAACTTGTACAAGATGACTTTATACTACACTAGCAAATAGTGCACAAGTTTCTATATACAAAGTGCCATCTAACCTAATTCTGACCTCTCTGTTTGTACATCTATCAAGTTATTACATATTTTAAAATATATTACCTGACTATAAAGCTCTAAAAGATTCTTTTGCTAACTAACTACTTATATTTAATTTTTGTTAACAGAGCTTATTATTGTAAAGTTTACTCAGACCCTAATATTAACTTTATAGTATATTCTTAGTACTTAGCTATACTCTGCTTTAGTTCTTAGACTCCCAATTCAAATAGTGTGAAAGGACTATAATCAGTTTTTGGTATTTCAAGGATCTGCCTTTCAAGATTCTTTTTCTCTGGTTTGAGACTTTTAGTAGCCTAATTGGTAGTACCTCTCATTAAGATTTTGCCTATCTAATTTCTTTATATTAATATTTATTTCTTAGATCTAGTTTTTACAATAATAATATTAAAAATTTGTGCTACCTTTTTATTTAGATCTTCTCAAATAGACTCTGGTTTCTTAGTTCTATGAATTTATATAGCCACAAGAACTTATTTTAGGTTTGCATTGCCCAATACCAGTTTGTATTCCTCTGTATAGCTTCAACATTGTGCAAATGCTCTATCCCTTATTCTGTAAACTTTTTTAGACCAATTTGTCTAGAAAATTATTAAAAATAACTAATAAAGAATGTAATGATAAGGAAATTATAATTTAAAGGTTATTATTATCTACAGTTCTAGTTATAACTTCAGTTATAAGAAAAACTTTTCAAAAATGAAATAAATATAATAAAATTTGAAGATTAGTTTGTAAAGCAACACTACTAGCAGTAGATAAAGATGATGAAATTGTTAATATTCTTCAGGATTATATTCAAAGAAAAAATTATGAAAAAAATGCATATACTGATGTTAAAGAAAAGTTATCTTTATAATTAAGTGAAATAAATATTAATATAGATAAAAATAAGACTATATTAAAAGACTATAATAATAATTATTCCAATAATGAAACACTTAACAATTAATAAACTGATATACAAATTTCTCAAAATGTTAAAAATCTGGCTCAAGTAATTAAAAAAGGAAAATTACCTAAACATCATTATAAAAGCAGTATAGAAAATAAACAAAGCTGACAAGGAACTTTTTCAAAAAGCTTATATAATGTAGACAATATGATAAAGTAGATCATAATACAGCTTACTATAAGCTAAAGAAAAGAGGTAGAAGTAATTAAGAAAGAAAAAAATATTATAATTAAATTAGAATGTATATTCTAATTTTTCTGATTTGAAAATAATATTGCATATTAATATTTCAATGTTTAATTACCAAATTAACTTTTATTATATATTAATCTATTAAAAAATAAACTGAATATAAACAAATTTATTACTATTATACTAATATAACTTTTATAAAATTGTTTTCTGTATGCTAACAAAGAGTTTGTGAAATCAACAGTTTTTTCAATAACAAAAACCTAATAGTGAAGTTTTTTAAGATTGGTAATGCTGTTTTATCTTGATCAAGATTTTTGCAGATTATTAATATTGCTAAATTTGAATATAACTCAACACATATATTCAGTGTTTGACAACTAGAACAAGTTTATTTCAAACAGATAAGTCTAATTCTTAATTTAAATTATTAGGTTTATAAGAGCAACAAACACTGAATGTATATATGAATTTTTAAGATTAGCATTAAGTAACTTATATTTACCAAAATTTTATTCAATTTATTACATTCAGTCTTATATATAGCATATAATATTAAATATAAAATGATCATAATTTTGTCATATTTGATTTTAGTACTTGTCTAAAGTTATAACTTCAAGTACCTATAATTGTATTGACTAAATTAGCTCTGAAATTAGATCTTCATGCATGCATTAGTTAGTAATTTTGACTTTAGGTGCTTGAAGCTGCAATTTTATGCAAATGCTAATTTTAAATAATATTTTTTTATTTGTTTTGTTTTGTACAATATTATTAATTAAATATGTTATATTCAGTTTTAAATAATTTATAAATACCAAAAGTGTACGTGTGGCTAGATGTACTCTCTAATGTAAGGTAGCTCCTCTGAGGTAATCAGACTGCGAGCTACCATGTCCTACTATACTGAATAAAAAAGCCCTAGTTCCCAAAAGACTAGTTTAACTATAAAAAAAAATAAATAAATAAAAATAAAAAAAAATAATTTATAAATGTAAAAAATTTTTGTTGGTGTTTAATTGCATCACATCCCCCATGCGATAAATATTCACTTCGCAGGGCGCGATGCCTAAATAAGTCTTTAATATAAAACCTATTTCAAATTTTAACCCAACTCATTTCACTTCATTAACATAAACTTAATAAAAGAAAGGTTTAAAATCAAATGATTTTGGTTTACTAAGAGACTATACCACCGACCTAATTAAAATATTAATCAATTAAATTTAATTCTAACAATATATAACTTACAAACCCCCACTCTCCAAAAAATAAACTGATTTCTATTCCTTTTCTAAGTGTTATGCTTTAAAATGCTAGCTACTGATCATCTGACCAAAATTAACAAATCAATAACCTAATTCTGACCCTAACTTAAATCAAAACAAGAACCATCTATATTAATTTCTTTAAAATTTATTAATAAAAAAAGAATTAAAACTTTTATACATGCAAATAAAGAAATTATGCATTTATGACTATATATAACCATGAGAGTAAAAAACAGATGCAGCATAACAATATATGCATTTAAACGGTATACAGTACCGATTGTATTTTAAAGTGTAACGGTCACCGTAAATAGAACTCTTGGTCAATTTATTCGCCAGTCTTCGGTATCAAGAGATTTCGTTATATAATGAACTCCAATAAAAATTTCCAGAACAACCAGTTCGGTATAGAGATGGCAGCATTAGAACAAATATTTCATGCAGCATAATTGATGCATTTTTTTCTTGCAATTTTATTAAACATCCTAAGTTTTAAAATCTTGTCATCTTAATGCAATAATGAAAACCTAATATTAACTACTTCACAACTGTTTTAACCGTATTAGATCATACCATTAATTTAGGTTCTAGACACTTCAAATTTTAGATCAGAAATATCAAGAATGCTAAAGTCAAATAAACTTTCACAAAATTTTATTCACTTTGAACCACTTCGCAGTGTCTTTATCTCAGAATCTTGTGCTTCATAAGTACGCTGCAAAAATTCCTGTTTCTCTATAAATCTAGTAAAACAGAATAATACGACTTAATATCAAAACAGGGGTATTTACGAGTATCACATTATATGAGCTAGCCTTTGTGCAACTCCATACCGCAACGTACTTCAAATTATGTTATACACCCTTCTGACTTACATAGGGTTTGCTATATTATTTGAGGCCACTCTCAATATAATGTAATTTGTGAATTCTTTGCGGATAAGTCTGAATATTATATTTTCATAACATACCCATTCTTATTATGATACTTGAGTTCATCAGCGATTCCTTCCTTGTCTACATATTTTTTCCAATCTATCTTTGATTTCTCCAAAGTATTTAGCTTTTTTGGTTTTTTATTAAGTGACGCAGCAAGTTGCCCAAGGGTTGATTTTGGTTTTCCAAATTTTCCACGCTCTGAAACTGCCGATGCTATAGGTGACTGGCTTTTTTTAATAGATGAAGATGATGAAGAATCCGATGGTGATGAAATTCGATTGATTGAAAGGTTTGTTTTTTTTGACGATGAAGAATCATCTTGCATGTGATTTGGTTGTGTTATGTTGTTATTCTTCGTCTGACTAGTAAGGAAAGCTTTAGCATCTTCAGAATCCTCATATACTTGTCTCTGCACCCTAGGATAATATTTTTTTAAAAAAAACTTAATTTTGGACATAACGAATAATAAACATTAAAATATTCAAAAATTCTTAACTAACGTTATTAACTCTCCAGCAAACTCACGAACTTCTGATATAGTAATCATTTTGTCCGAATTTGAGAGCTAGGAACAGGGATTTTACGATTAATTGCCAAAGTTCAAATCAAATAAGAATAACTCCTATATGTATCAACCTTTGTAATTGATGTGTTCTGTTCGTGTATATTTTCATTAAACTCTGTCCATAATGCATCAATTTTATCCTTACGTTGAGCGATCACTTGTTCGTCTATACCTGTTTTTTCAATCCTAAAATATATTTAACAAACAATAAACGATATTTAATAAACAACAATAAAAGATATTTAGAACTATTATTAAGAGGAAAAGAAAATTAATCAAATACCTTAATCTTTTTGTTTGTGTGTCATCGTTGGCTTCACTTTCAATTTTTTTCCTCTTACTCCTAGTCATTAGAGGTGCAGACATTATGAGGTAACAGAGTTGCAACTTTTACTATCAAAGTTGAGTCGTAATATAAGTAGCGGGTAACTGGTGAAACTGAAATTGGTGTGATACTGAAGTGTCAATTTTTTAAAGGAAAAAGTACGAGATTTTTCATGTGACAGTCAACCAATCAGAACCATATCGTCAACACATGATATCAACAGATAGATAATCATTAAACTACACCGCCAATCAACAAGCGTAGCTTGTATGTTATTATTCTTTTATAGTTTAAAATAAATCGTGTTTTAGAAGAATGAAACTCTTTGTTATTTTTTTTTTTTTTGAAATATCAAAGTAGAAACTTTAAGACAACTCTTTTTGCTAATTCTTAGTTCCAAAGTAGAGCAGAAAACAAAATCTAAAATATGATCAAAACAGAATAGCAAACAGTTTTTAGGTTCTTAAGAAAAAAGAGTTTATATTTAAAAATATATAAATTACAATAGAAGTATAACAGTAAGAGATAATACAAACAAAGAAAACTCTTTTCATAAACCTTTTTTACACAAAAATAACTAAAAATCTATTAGTATTAAAATTGCTAATATCTGGTTATTTTATTAAGATAACCAACTTTAGTGTCTTAAATAAACTTGCTTAGCTCCTAATTTTACATATATTTTGAAAGTTTCAAGTTTATAATTTTTGAACTTGCAATTTAACATTACCAAAACAGTCTTTGGTTTTCACTATTAAACTTTTAATTATTTCTTATAAAGTATTTTATTAATCTATTTTACAATCATAAGAAAAGTTATAAAGCATCTGCTTCTAATTAAAACAAGTCTAAAAAGAAGCTTGTAGATCTAAAATTGATAGAATTATAATAGAAAACAACTTTAACTTCTTTATAGTTTCTTTTTCTTTTTTTTTTAATTTTTTTGTCTTTACCTCTAAATTTTTTCTCCAAAATATTTTTTATATAACTTTAAATCATTTCTAAAATTGGTTTCATTTAATTTCACATTATGTAAATTAAATTTATCTAAAAAAGAAATTTATTTGTTACAAATTATCTTGTACTAACTTGCTAAAAATAAATTTTGTACTCAATTATACAATAGTTACTATAACATTCAACTATTTATAGATTTGTACTACATTGGTTACACTAGTCACACCAGTCACAAACTTGTGTTATTTAGATTACACAAGGTTATGCAAGTCGCAGTAGCTGCTATAGTTATAGTAAAACCCCTACAAATATAAATTATATTTTACAATTAATCTTATATTATAATTAAACTTTTAAAAAATCTTTAATTAAAGATTACAAAAATTTTTACTAAATAATTTAAATTCAGACTTCTAAATAAATTTATAGCACTATCTATGCCTACTCTTAGTACAAAAGTATTAGATACCTTAGATCTTGATTATTTCTTCAAGAATCATGCAAGCTCTTATGGCATTGGTATTTATGAAAATGAACCTGTACAAATAAGAGTTATTCCAGACAAATACAGATCTACCAAATGTATTATCATGGAACTTAGATCTCATTCACCAATTCATTTATTTTCTGTTCCTGTAACAACTACAACAATTAAGTATATATATGGATTATTTCATACTAAATTCATTGCAGAAAACAATAAAACATATAAACTTATCAGCAAAACTAATAAAACAATAACTAACAAACAAGCTAAAAAGCTCTAACAAACACTTGCAAAATCTAAATCTCAAGTTCTATTATCTTCTATAGCCACTATTTATATACACATTTGCCCTAAATGCTAAACTTCCATTAACTATAAAGTGACTAACAACAACTATGCACTACAAAATGAATCTATCTTTTATCAAAATACAGCATATTACAATAATTATTTAGCTGAAATTTATAAAGAAATGATCTTAGCTAATTAATGCAAACTTCAACCTACTAAAAACCCTGAACAAGGCTCATCTTTACAATATAAACTTCTAACTAAACAGCTTATTACTTCTTTACTTGATTAAAATCTGAACAACCTTCTTATTTCAGAACTCATATTTACTCTACCTAACTTGGAAGAAACAATTTCTACTAACAATGATATGGACATTGACAGTTCTACTAAACCACCTAAACTACAACAACAACCACAAACTCAACAAATACAATAACCATAACAACAACAATCTTTACATCAAGCTTCACCATTTTTATACAAATAACAGCCTAATAAAAAATCACTTTAATAATCTCAACTGGCTTAATCTTATAGTCAAGTAACAAGACCCGAACTTAACCCATTATATAACTTTTTAGCAAACTTTCTAGTTATTGATAAAATGCAAAACTACACAAAATTACAAACAGAGATATTCTGAAAACTCTTTAATCTTCTTAAAGAATATCTTCATAACTTCTACTTTGGCAAAGTTATTAAAGAAGTAGTTAAAAAATAAGATCTATTCAAAGCAAGCCTTTATCTATTAATTAGACAAATGGCTGGTGCTAAACCTCAATTTCTTACTGACTTAATCCAATAACATAACTCTGACAATGATAAAGCTGCTACAATACTATTTAACATTCTTAAAGAAACACTTAAAAAACTTATTCTTATATTTACAACAATTCTTTTTATTAAACTTAACTATCCAGAAATATTTGCCTTTCCAGCCATCATCTTACCTATTCAAACTCATAATTGATTACAATTTTGTATTAATCTTATCTAACTTCACTTATATATTTCTAATAACTATCAAGCAATTAACTACACCAAATTTGCAGAAGATATCAAACTAAGACCCAAGGTTACTGAAGTTGACAAACAACATCAATTCCTCTTTATTAAAATGGATATCATTTTAACATTAAACTTAATTTTAACCTTTCTAAAATCTTATTTCTTCAAAAATACAATATATTATCTTTAAAAAATTTACTTGACCATTTCAATGAATGGTTCAAAAAAATTTTTCCTATATATAGTTGCCAATTCTCTAATACTATCAACAAAACCAAAGTCCAAAACTATCTCAAGTATGAATTTAGACAACATTTTATTTCTCATCTTAAAAAGCTTCTACC